CTTTCAGTAGAACAACTAAAAATGAACATAAAAGATGCTAATTTGCTTTCATTAGAACAACTAAAAATGAACATAAAAGATGCATAACCAATCTGCAGGGGTTCATCTAAAAATGTATGGCCGTAGATACAGAATACGATATATTGCCAGGCATATAATGTCAAGACATCAAAATTTTCCTAGGGTAAAGAATAGTATTATGCTCTCTAACGATAAATGCTCTATACAGGATCCCTGGAGGTCTATTGATTTCTCGAGTATACAGACCTTACCATTACCAAATACAGAAAAATTAAAGGCACTAGCACAAAAATGATATGGGCTAGCTCACCTCATTCTTCCACTTTGTCACAAATGTGTCAGCGTGCCTTCATTATGTAGTATTGTGAATACAACATTATGCAAGGTTTGTAGAAAATATTTTCATGAATCAGAATAATATCTCCTTCAAAATTAGGAGGACCAGCATTATGAAGCACATGATAACTAGAGCTGTGGCACACATGACCATTCCACCTTGTTTCTGGGATCGTTCAGCCTGCAATCCAATCAAGCCCAACATAACATTAAATGAAATGACTGCCCTAATCAAGAAAACATTAAATGAAATGACATATCAGACTGTAAAGCTGGACAATCTACGAATTAGAAGGATGCAATGGAGAAACCACGGTGAGACCTTTTGCAGTTGTTTAAGACCTTCCTCAACTGTTGATGCAACATTTTGAACGTTGTAGTCTATCCTATCTACGATAGTACCCTGTATTTGGACATTAGTTAAGTACACCAATAACCCGTGCTGAAGTACAACTTGGTGATTATGAAAAAGGTGTTGTCAGTTCAAACCTGGTCTATCACCAGAACTGACAGATCTTTCATAATTTGGGCAAGTTCATTGACCGATTCAACAACCTACCATATAAGCACATGAAGGCTAAGTTAGAAAACAACGATATGCACATTTCAGGTAACCACTGAGAAGCAGCAACCAATATCACCTGCTGTATTTCTCTCTCTCTTTCGACAGTGAATGCCTCGCTTTTCTTTAGCTTGGCCATCTGATGCTCATTAAATCCCTGGAAAGACATTTAGTACAGTCAAAGTTTTCTCGTGAGAAAAACTCTCCAAGGTATCTCCTAAAACCATTCTTCAAAGGCAGCAACGACTTTTAAGGATGTAAAACCCCAACGACCCTCCAACCACAGCCATACGAAATAACGAGAGTTCCAAAATGAGAGAAGCCAATCAAACAAATATCATAAAAGATTAGGCTCTATTGCCAAAAGTAACTGATGTTAAAACAACAATTAATGTTCTTTCTTTACACCTTAAGCGTTCACCTGAGATAGTACCGGGAACATTCAGTCCCCACAATACTGCTTCAGCTGGTATCGGAATTAATCAACTCATGTCTGATCACTTCCAACATAACACAAATAGTTGCCTAATTCTCATTCATATAGAGCGCATAGTGCATTTTATTGGTGATGCTCTGTTTTACTTTGCTGATCAAGCATTGGTATTAGCACAACGAAGGTATCAGACCATTAGATCCACATCTTCCTGATTACATTTGCAGGAGATGATCCCAAAGAGAAGTAAGAAATCAAATTTATATATATAATACAAGTTGCATACCAAGTCATCCAAATCATCATCATCCCTTCGAGAATGGCTCCCATTTAAGTTCATTTCCAAGTCAACTCCATCTGGACCCTACATGAAAAGGCAACATTTAAAGAAAGTTTGCAAGGATATATTTCAGGAACGCAAAAGGAAAAACCATCCTAGAAACACAGGCAGCATGCTGATCAACCATCCATAAAATAAGAGTATAGGCAGAATCAACAGTTTAGCTAATATACTCTAGATAATGTAGTTGCAGCACATGGGATGTTATAATATAGGATTTTGATCCATAAAATCTCAACTGCAAATAAGACTTTCTCCTGCTAATACCTACTACTAACAGATTGTGGCTCAGGCCAAAAACTACGTGTACACACCTCTTTCTGCTGCTGGAGCCGCTTCAAATAAGTAGATTGTTTTTTGCGAAGCTCCATTGAAAGGCTTTGAAGATCTGTAGCAAGAGAGCGCTGTCATAGGAATATCACATTGTAAGCACAAACACAGTATGCAATTATTTCAATCAGAATATTGAAAATCAAGAAAAAAATGTAGTTTAAACAAACACTCGTTAGTCGTTACTAATGAAACTGAATATCACATTGAAAGACATGCCCTTATCAAGTTCTTAAAAGTAGAACACATCACATTTCTTTGTGAAGTTTCCATGTCACTCCCTCTTCCCGAATCAAGTAAACCAATCCGGCTGTAAGTTTAACAGTAAAATATTGGCATGAATACATAATCCCAGTTCAAAAAAATTGAATATATAATTATGTTGCGTTTGGTAGAAAAACATTTAATATAATAATTTGAACGTAAGAAGTGAGGAAGTTGCTGAAAAGATGTCACATCAAGCTTTAATAATATAAAATAATGGTTCTGCCAGAAAATTGAGGGGGGGGGGACATCCCCTCCCTCTGTCTATGCCATATACCCCATCCCCATTCTCCAATTGTGAAAGTTTGAAGAGGTTAACAAAAAAAAACCATCATCTAACAAGGTGCGAATGGAGAGATGCAACAGGATATGGTAGTCTTTCAGCAGAGCCAAAAGAAGAATTTGTTATTTTACAAACTTCTTCCACAAAGGAAACAAAAAGTTCAGGCTAAAAGTTAAAATCCAAATTAGAAGAAAACAATTGTTTAATGGTTGTGAAGGCACACCTGTACATTTTTCCTAACATTTGAATCCTCAGAAGGACCAGCTGCAGAAAGTCTTTGCAATTTTTTTTCTGATCTTTTGAGAAGACCAGTTATTTCATGGGTAAGAGCCTCAATACGACGCTGATCTTCCTTACCATCTCCAAATGATGGCATTAACGCTTTAGCATGAGCTTTGGCTAGCTCAGCCATCTTTGTTCGAACCCGTTGCACATTACCCGTGATTTCTTCTGACACATCCACCCACGCTGGCGGTAGACCTACTGTAACTGGACCATTACTGCAGCAGGGAAACAGCATGAGATCCAGAGTAGGGGGAACTATTAAGGACATCCATAAAATCTAGGAAGTAAATATTTGCTCAAAAAGATGTAGGAAGTATATAAAGAGAAAAGATATTAAAATTTAAGGAAGCTGCTATAGGAAACGGTTCAAAGGAGATTTAAATGAGAAGAATTTCTTTTCAAAATTTATAATATGACAAATGACAGGGCTTCATCAAAAGTTTATATTTTAAATAATGACTAGGTATCCCTCTTCAAATCTTTGCAGTTGTTCCAGTTGTAATAAGCTCCATACTTCCTCCATGTTTCTCTTTTCACGAAAAAATTCTGCACTATGCTGTAGACATAGATAAACTTTCTTTACTCTTGCAAATCCAACCCCAAGCAGCAAGAGATAGGAAGTTCAAAGTGCCACTTAGAACTATGGATGAGGAATTCTAACGATCCAGGTGCTCCTTCTGTTTCAATACATGATGCCGGGGGTGTTAATGGAGGTCAAAAGAGTGTGGTTAAACCTGATCTACAAAGAGAAAAAAGTTGGACTTGACTTCACAGGATTCTCAAGTATGTGCAACATGTTTTTCTTGAATGTTTCTTTATCTTTTGTTTTTTAGGGGCATGAGTATCCTCCAATCTAAAGATGAATTTTCAGGGGCGACGGTGATAATTTTCCTGTTGCAAATTGCACCACACTAAGCACAAATCGAGTTAATTATCAGAACTTCATCTGAGTAAGCTCCACCAATTATCCTCCTTCACGACTAACTGAATAAGCAAAACTTCATTTGAATGTATTATATAGCATCAGTGCACTCATCAATTCAATAAACTCTTATAGGAACAAGAAATTTGAGACATGATTAAACCATTAAAATTACACAATTTGTAACAAGAAAAGTTAGCAACTTGGACTTAGCAATGACTAGCACTTCAATCACCTATCATCAAATAGTTGAGCTTTTCCTCGGCATATATCATAATAACAGGAATTAAACAAATAAGTTCCCGATGCTATCCGTTTAAAGTTACTTCCAGATTTTGATCTAGCACAAATAGTCCCAAAACTTATAACTTTGATACACGTCACTAACCAAAATAAATTATTTGGGAACAAATTCAGAGGCAATAAGTGAAAATTCAAGGACCTATATGCAAACCTGGAGGTTCCGGGATCTTCTGTACTGAGAGGAGCATACGATCGATTGGAATTANCCCAAAGCTTATAACTATGATACACGTCACTAACCAAAATAAATATTTTGGGAACAAATTCAGAGGCAATAAGTGAAAATTCAAGGGCCAGTGAGCAAACCTGGAGGTTCCGGGATCTTCTGTACTGAGAGGAGCATAGGATCTATTGGGATTGAGCAACGACGTCGTTGCCAATTCGATCACCGGCCCACTACCATGACCCGATGACGTGGACGGCGAAGAACCCGCAGGGACCCGAACACTTCTCAACGCATCTCTATACTTCCTAAACAATATCGTTCTATTTCTCGACGCCATTGACGTTTCTGCACAGAAATCAATAAAAATGCCTACAGATCACTGATTCCTCTTCTACTTAGATCTGAAATTGAAATTTGTTTGTAGACGCGTGTATCATAATCAGTCCGGGTTTGGATCCAACTTGAATTAAATTCCGGATCTCTTGAACGGAGATCGGTGAAATGGAATTTCCGGTAATGATGGAGTCGTGTTAAATTGGGAGCGAGTTCGAAGCTTCCAACTTCCAAGCTAAGTTTTGAGGAAGATGAACCAAAAATGAAAGACGAACCGGGGTGGGGGGTTGGGTGGGGTTGGTGGTGGGGTGGGACACGCACTTTTGATCGGGAGTGTTGATCCAGCCTTTTATTTAAAAAACAAATTTATTTTAAGTTATAAGTGTAAATAAAATAGAAATAGAGAAAGAAACTAAAATATTTATAATAATTTCATTGTAAGTATATGCTTAATTTTATTTTTACAATACTAATTAACATATACATTTGATATGAATCGCTATTGATTTGCTATGAGATGTTACCAATGTACATGACATATTTGTACTTATAAATTATAACACCACCCCTAATGTAATTTTAATAACAAAATTATACTAAATATATATATATTTTTTAGAGATTTTAATCATTTCAGGTATATTTTAATAACGATAAATAAAAATTTATATATTGTTTAGTTATGAATAAAAAATAATTCTGATATATACTATTACTATATCTATAGATGGTCTTCAATTTGCAACTATCAATTGGGCAAATAGGAAAAGAAAAAAACATTAAGATAAGTATTTATTATTAAGATGCTACTTGTTTTCAATTTGTGTTGGTTTGGGCTAAAATAATAAAGAACATTAAGGGCTAAAATAAAAAAGAGCATTAAGAGAAGTATTATATTACGATATTTAGGACCTTAGCGGTATTAATAACTCAAAAGAATTACAGAAGAAAGAACTTTATATAATTGGATGCCAGAGAAATAAATAAATGAGCAACAATAGTGTTTCCAAAAAGACAATAAAAGGTGTGTGGAAGACGAGTCTCATCCTTCTTTTTTTGGTAGAATTTCACATTTTCTCCTGCTAAAAAGGCCTCAGCTACCTCCTCTCCATCATCTGCTTCTTGTTCTGCGTCATCTTCGTCGATTCGTCGTCGTTTTGTGTAACCAATATCGCACTCCGTTTCCCAAATCACACACACCGACACTCCTCACAATTCACAAATCGTCAACCCCACCCTCGCTCCTAACGATTGAATCGAATTGATACTTGAATTTCACTGTTTCAAACAGAATCCAGCTTAATCCTTTAAAATTCAAAGTGAAGTAAAGCAAATATGGATGCTGATTCATGGAGTGCTCGTCTTTCTTCTGCTTCCAGGCGCTACCAATCCGCTTTTCAGTCTCGATCTGGTAAGGGTTTTCCCCCTTAATTTTGTAGGATTATTGCAGTAAAGTTTGGATTTTTGTGCGATTTATGTGGTTAATTTTGGTGTAGGAATGAAATGGGAAAATCTTGACGCGGAAATGTTGATGGGTTTTGAGGAAATTGAGGTGGACGACGATATAAGAGAAGAGTTCCCTTGCTGTTTTTGTTCAGAGTATTTTGATATTGTTGGTTTATGTTGTCATATTGATGATGAGCATCCTGTTGAGGCCAAGAATGGGGTATACCTCTCTTTTTTGATCAGTTATTGTGGAGTTGATCACCCTTTGCTGTTTTCCCTTTGTTGAAATATTGGATATTGTGTCATTTCACGCTTAAACATGTCATGATTAATGTAGAAGTTTAAAATTCTTTCAGTTATTGGAAGATAGAGTGTCGTGTTAATATTTAGGTTTACTAGCTGACATTTTAAGCCATGATGGTATGACTTGATACAGTTGCCTTTGTTTGATGGCATTACTTTTTGATGTGTACTGGTCGCACGTTCTTGAGTGGTTCAGAAGCATGTTTTTGCCTCTGGCAATTGTTCTAGTATTTCTAAATGTCTGTGAAATCATTCTAGAGAAGTTTCTTCCATTGCTCGTGGTCGAGATTACTTTGGACGAAAACACGAATGTTTTGTTGTCCATCCAGAAGTATATTGTGGATTGCTTATATGCTAACTGTTCCTTGAGCTGGTATGTTTTTACCTCTATCATTTTTCCTCTTAGGAGTTCTGGCGCAGGGATGGGCTATAATCAGTCCATCTTAACTTGTAGATATGGTAGTTTCCTGTCTGGAATTTTTTTTTAATTCTAATTTTGCTTATTTGAGTATTATGCCAATAATATCTGTGGCATATGGAAGCTCTTTCTAAAACTAATCCTCACAGTCGGCTTCTTTGTGTAGGTGTGTCCAGTTTGCGCTATGAGGGTGGGCGTTGACATGGTTGCACACATAACCTTACAGCATGGGAATATCTTCAAAATATCCTTTATTCAGTATCTCAATATCGTTTTTGTGGTTCTTTCTTGTAGTTTCCTTTTGCTGCTTCTTTTGTTTGTAAAATCAGAGGTAGCAATGTCTTGTGGGAAAATTGTCACTTAACACAAGAATGTAGGAGATAGATTTTTCAATAACCTTGGGTATGCTAATCACAATTCCTAACTTTTAAAGTTCCACCAGATGTTTTCTTTTTATCAGGAAGTTCCACCAGATGTTTTCTTTTTATCGGGAAGTTCCTCCAGATGTTTAGAGCATTTCATTTAGTTTCGAGGTTTTCTGTCATAAATTGGAGTGAGAAGTCCTCCCCCAGTCAAATAATGTCAAACTCTTCCATTTTCTCATTTTTAGAATGTGTTCAATGGAGCTACTGAATCGAGATGGTTGACTGTTTAGGTAATACTCTGGGGGCTGTCGGCCACTCAACATAAGCTCTTAATTTATATTCTTTTTTACGGTTTCTGTATGTCAGTTTCATTTTGAGAGCCTTTAGGATGAGGTTCTATAGTTTGGTGCTAACCTCTGTTTTCCTCTCCTGGAAGAGTACAAAAGTATGTCCTCATGTTCTGATTCCTTTCTCGGCTTTTTGGTGAAGATGTAGTATGTAACATCTGTCCTTACCTTTTGGGCACTTTAAGTTCTTTTAAACCTTCAGCAAGTTGAAAGCGAGCTACTAAATCCCTCTCACTTTCCATAGGCATCTGCATCTCAACTTATTTATCAAAGCACACCTTCACATGCATCTTTGACCTCAGTTCATATGTTGAACAACGTTGTGTTTCATTCCACGTGAGTTCATTAAAACTTTTTTGAGTAGGCTTCGGAATGTGTCATTTATCATGATCCTGGGACCCAAGGATCATTTTTTTGTTATACATAGAACATCACTCCCCTGCAGATCTTGGAAAGCTGATACTCTTGTTTAGGTTGTGTAGCTTCATAGTTGGGACAAGACTGGAGTTTTTCTTCCTTTTTTGCAGGGGGTGGGGGTGGGGGTGGGGATG